GCTTTGAAATTCCTCTGCCCACTGCATCCGAAAGTGCTTTGTAGAACTACCCCAAAGGGAAGGGAAAAAAGATCAAGAAGCTCTGCCAGGGTGAGAGGAAAGATACAGATTGTTTCATAGGAAAGGAACAGCAGGTGACACAAGGAGATGGATGGAAGTTTCACCTAAAGCAAAAGATCCCAAAATAGTGGGACAGAAGAGGGAGAAAATCAATGTCACCCAACTGGAGGGTGCTGGGTTAGATGGGTCATGCAGAAAGCAGCAAGCACTTTGAGGCTGAGTGGTGCAGATCCATGAAGCACTGGAACTCAATATAGTTTGCAGCTGGATTCTGGTACGAATGAGAAGGCAGTGGGGCTGTTGGAGGAAGAGCAGGAGGAGGCAGTTGCCATGAGCTAGAGGCTGAAGAACTGGGACTCCGTGGAGTCACAGCAAGGGGCATGGTAGCAGGAACAAGCCAGACTGAGCCAGGGTTTAATACTGGCCCTCCCACAGCCATTTTCCCTTGTGTCTTCAGAAAACAAATGCACAACCAGTGTCTGCCCATCACCTGTTGGGAAGTGGAGGAATTGATTAGGAGGAAAGGTTAAAACAGCTAGGTCTGAGCCACACAATTGCGAGAACCCATAGAAAATAGAAGCCTTAACTGTTTACAAATTCCACAAGGGAAATCTCCCAGGAAGGAGAGGAAATGCTTAGGCTGGGCTTAATTGAGACAGCTTGGAGTTAAGAGGGAAAAACATGACAAATGTAGATGTGCAGGCTTAGGTTTCAAGGAAAGGGAACTTCACTCTGTGCAAAGAAACAGTACAGTACCTGTGTAACACTTCAGTACCACTTAAGACCTCAAAGCAGAGCATAAGTGGGATGTAAAGGAGTGAATCAGCTTTGCAATGCACTATTCATGGGGGTGACTTTTACCCTAAGAGGACAAAATTGCTTTGCTGACAGCAAGACATAAAATGCTACAATTTCTACTGACAGCAGCACCAGTGAGGGAAGGATCAGGACCAGTGGATTTTGTTAGGAAAATCTCTGGCTAACTCTCTGTCTCTCTTTTAAACCAATCACATGAAGAGATTAGTGCCCTTCTTTTTGAAGCTCTCTTGCTTTTCCCAATCGGCGATTAAACAATGGCCCAGCAGCAGATTTTTCAAGAGAATATTAAAAACCCTCAGGGACGGCAAGTTCAAGGATGCCAAGTTTCTGTGGGAGGGGATTTGAACTCTAACAGGAGAAAAAGTGGATTAGGAGAGTGGAATTCTATGCACCTGTCCTCTGTGCCCGTGGATGCAGACACAGACAGACACGTGCACACACACAGACATGCACACATGTCTTTCCAGGATTTTTCGAATTCTTCTAAACTGAAATTAATGAAGGCTCATTAAAAAAAGGATAGTAAATTTCCCTCTGACACATGGTTTAGTTACCACCAGAAACAGAAGCATAAAGCCTCCCAAGAACAGAGTGGGCCAGAGAATCTGCTGTGATAAAGCAACAGAGTGCTAATGGAGAAAACCATGCAACTCTGAGCTACATCCACTGAGTGCCAGAAATGCCACTGGAGAAAAGGCCTGTGGGATTAAACAGTGGGAAAGTCCTGTTTCAGTCCAGCTCTATCTGTGTTGCAGAGGACTCCCTGCCCTGCAAGGGTAATTCAGATGACTAGCTGGGGAAGAGAAAGCCCTGCTGGCCTGCAGCTTTGCTGGATTTGTAGGTTTTTAGTTAGGGACCTCTTATGTCTGCCTATCTTGCTTCTAGCAGGAGGATTCATAACATTGCAAGGGTGAGCTTGGTGCATGAGACAAACCAGTCTCCTGTGTTAAGGAACAACCTCACTTGTCACCAAGTACACTGCGAACACTTCTGCTCCACCTCTTTATTGCCCTCCAGCACTTTCTCTCTTTCCAGTTTTGAATGACCCCTACTTAAAGATTTCCGCTAATCTCCTGGGAGAAATACTTCACAGCCTGAGGTCCTTGAACTTAGGGATTGTGTCCTCTTATTTCACCTACACTTCCTCACTGTAAAAAATGTCTCTGTTAGACACCCTGCACTCTTTTTAACAGTTCCTTTCCTTCTGTGGTTCAGGCTTCTTGAGACAATGAGATGATAAAACTTGGATGCTAGAGAGATGAAGGGATGAGAGAGTGGATGGGCAAGTCAGTGTGATGAAGAAAAAATGAAGCTGTGCACATACTGTGGCAAAGTCCTCTGGTATCTGCAGCACTGCACTTCAGAAAGAGTGAAACTCGGTGGCAGTCTCAGATCATATCCTTTTAGATGGAAGCTTTTGCTGAATGAACAGTATCATCAGCTCAGAGCCCTCTGCATTTTATTCCATGGCTAGACTGAGAATACCTTGCTGAGACTGACTGCTGTCTTTCTCTATGGCAGTGGGTTTCAATGTTTTTAGACTCCAAGCACCCCTTATTAGATAAAGGCTGCTTGGAAAATGTCAGCTCTAAGCTTTCACTTATTTTTTTGACTATGGAAAAATAAAAGAGCATTTCTTCTGTTGCAAAGAATTCAGAAGGTCTACAACAGGTCAGAATAGTTTTGGCATTATTGTTTCCTGTTTGAAATCTCTGGGATTGACCTGTGAATCATGTGTGGCACCACTTAACACCTGTAAAAGGATCTCAAGGCACCACAAGGCTCTGTGTTACCCTGGTTGAGAATCACTGCTCTATGGGTAGGCCTGCTGAAAGCAGGAGGAACTTCTGTCACGAGATACTGCTCACTAAGAGGAAGGGACTTGCACAATCTGTCCCTTTGCAATTCAGTTCTGTTTGTGTTTCAGTGCCTTTTGGTTGTATTACCATCAGCATGCTGCCTGATTCTGTGTTGTGTGCCTTTCTTCACTGGTGAGGCTGTTGCAGAAAAGCTGGTGGTTTAGGGGAGCTGCTAGAATGGACCACAGGGAAATAGCTATGTTTCTTATGTGAACATTGCCAAAATTAGATCCCAGGCTCAGCTCCATGTTTAAAATGACTGGTCTTTACCAGACTGGTCCTTTTCAGAGCTGTAGTTTTAGGCTACCTGCAGACTCAGACAGACATCACTCCATTGATTTATACTTCAGTTCCAACTGCAAGGGCTGAGATGTAGGATGCATCTACATAGGCAAATGGACTTCTGAAACACTGCTCTGGGCAGGGTGCAGATTGCCTGGACATTCTGTAGCTAGGCATTTCCACAGCACATGAGGTCTCACTGACAGTGGAGAGATGGCTGGATGGCAGAGAGGGAACAGACAGAAATAGACCCAGATAGTTCATGGAACCCCAAATGGGACAGTGAAGAAGAATCTGGGGACAGGAGAGGTCTACAGATGGGGCTATACCAAAGTAGATGAGGTTGTGGCTGCTGTGCCTGAAGACGTATCCCGTGGCCCGTAGGTTATTGATATCAGCCCCCTTGTCCAACATTGCCTTCACCAGGCTGAAGTTCTTATTCACCACTGCAATGTGGAGAGCAGTCTCACCTGCAACACACAAAAAGACGTCTTTGGTCCTATCCGCATCACACCAAAAGGCCCCAAGATGCTACAGAAACCAATCCCATGGGTCATGTCTACATGTTTATTAATGTCCAGTAGTTACTGCACATTTAATTTAGTACTTGCTTAATAAAGCACTAAGTAAATGCACAGTAACTACAGTTAATGCACAGTAACACCAGCAAATGCCTTTTTAGTGACTGTGCAGTACCATATTAGCACTGTCTGTGCTGTGACGTGCTACTGCGCAGTGTTATTAGGCTATTGCGCATTACGTGTCTCATATAGGCCACTGTGAATAAGTGAGAAACTCAACTGGGAAAAGACAGGTTTTTTCCAAGGGCATCAAACACTGCTTTCCCATGGAATTGCAGAGGCATGTGAGTGTCTAATTTACCGAAGGCTCCTTTGAAAACCCTAGTCCATGCTCTATCTCATTTACATGGATGGCACAGTGACTTTAGGGCAGATGATTTAGATTCAGGCCAGTTTAACAGAATTGCACCCAATTTTTCCTGAACACAATCTTAGTTTCTTAGCCCAAAGGTGTGGAATTGGCTGCTGTTGAATACGAACAATATGCACCATAGTTCCTTCTCCCAATTCTCATTAACATGTTCTGGTGTCTTGTTAATGTTAGCTGTGGCCCTACTCATATTGTACATATCTGTAATACTTTCCATTATCTGAAGAGCTCAAAATACTTTGCAAAGTACTAAATAAACCCCTTGTTCCACCCATGTGCAGGAGCTTGAAATCATAAACCTTCTTTTACAGATAGAAAAAACAAGGCCCAGGGAAACCAAACAACTTGCTCAATAACAGACAAACAGCCAAGAATCCAAGTCGCTTACTTCCCAGTTCTCTATTCAAACCACTAGATCACACACCCTCCTTTGTGCAGCCTGTTTTTTGGGGAAGGAGGGGGCAGCCCATAAGCAGCACAGAATACCACCACTGCTCTTCCTTGGTGCAGAAATGTTCCACAGAGCACTCGCTGGGGTAGAACTTGAAGTCCGAATTGAAATTTACTCCAGACAGTGGGATTAATAGTCAGGCCTGGATGCCCTGTGCTTCACGTCTCTTCTCAAAGACCACGGGGCAGCACTGCATTCCCCTAACAGCATGTGACTAGGCAGTGGGGTTAGGCATGACTCAGAGGACAACTTTCTTCCCTGATTCTCCCCACTTCCTGTATCAGATCTCACTAACCTGATTTTCTGCAGTACCAAGTTCAGTTCGAATGCAGATGGACCAGTATCAGCTGCCAAAGATTGGAATGGCTCTCTGCATAACACGGTTGGGACAAAGAACCTGAAGCACTTCAGGGTGAAGCTTGACAGGATTATGGAAAGGACAGTGTAACGGGACAGCGGTGTTCTCGGATTGATATAAGGAGTCAAGCATTTGCAATCTCCATAGTAAAGGTGTCTGGAAATCCCATGGGCTTCTGCCCACTTTATTGACTTCTGCATGTGTACTTTCCCTCCTCACTTCCTTCTGAATCATTGGACATAGGAGCACAGCTAGAGGTGGGAATTTAGGATAAGGTAGCCTGGTGCTCCTGCCAGTACATAGGAATCTATCATATACCAAACTGGAGGGCCTTGATCTTCTGCTTGGAGTCAGACCAGTTATCAGAATTGGGGTCAGGAAGGAATTTTTCTGTCAAGTCAGACTGGCAAAGGATTGTGGGTTTTTTTTCCTTGCATCTGCATTGAGAGGCACCTTCCCCTTCCTAAGACCATCTGGATATATCTTAATCTAATAACTTCAGTGGCAGGAAATCAGCAGTGCCCTTGCCTGTCCTGTGGCACTTTGTGGCTGCTTTGTGGTTGTAGTGTGTGAGGAACTAAAGTGCATGATTTTTAGGACACGTTTTGGATAAATGGTTGCCTGCAAACTGCAGGGCACTAGACTCAACAGCCCAAGAGGCCACTTCTAGTCCTATATTCCTGTGAAATAATACTACTTTCCACAACACTTAGACTTGGAGGTTTTCCCATGCAAAATTTGTCTCTGCTTAGTTATGAGTCAGGGCATACTCACTGAGCCCTGAGAGGAAGCTGGTAAGAAGTTATCCTCCCAAGATAAAGTGAATTTTTACATGCACCTATGTCAAAGGCACATAGCATAAATTCTGGTTCCTGGAGGCCTACTGGGAATCAAAGGAACCTAAAGGTGCGGAAAGTGCTGTGATGTAGCAGTAAAAAATGACTCCTAAAACAGGTCATTTATAAAGGGCTCTTTAGAATATGGAAACAAATGTAACATGGGCACAGATACTGTATCACATCACACCCAGCCTGGGCTCTTGACCCTTGCCCACTCACTTTGGCATTCTTACCTGCATAGAGTTCTGATGTCATGGCTTCATTGATGAGATCAGGAGCAGCATCCATCAGAATCTGTGCAGCCTCCACATTATCGTACAAGGCAGCCACATGAAGGGCTGTCTCCCCTGTGGCACCTAGACAGAGAAGGTCATATATCTCTGTAGGGGTCATATGTTCCTCTGCCAAAAGGAACAAATCTCAGGGCATCCCACTTTTCTCCCGACCTAGCAATGTCACTTTCAGCTATGGTTTTGGAAACATTTTTAACCTCCTACCTCCAGTCCCAGGGCCTCATTTCCTTGCAGGTTACTTATCACTAGTTAGTGGAGGGGGGGCCCCTACCTCTCTGATGAATATCAGAGGCACTACAGGCAAGCAGCTTCTGGATGGCTTGAACATCATTCTCCTTTGCTGCTCGAAGCAGGGGAGACTCCCAGATCCTGCAGCAAGAAAAAATGGTAGTTTACCACCTTATTACACATAGTAAAGGATTTCTGCCATGTCAATAAAAGAGCCTTCAAATCAGAACACAGTGTTTTATTACCAAGGTTGCATGCAACTGGGAAATGTTAACAGACTGAGACAGACACGCACACCCAAGAGCAGTGGCCTTTCAGTGGACCACTCTCTTTGTATAAGTAAAGAGAGTGCAGCCCACTTTCAGAAAGACTGTAGTCCTGACAAATGATATCACAAAGGAAATACGAGAAGCAAGAATTCTTGGGTGATATCTTTTATTGGACTAGCTGTACGACTGGTGTAGCCATAGGCAAGCTTTTGGCTATCACAGTACCCTTCCTCAGGCTTTCCTCACCTCAGCACTCACAAAGGAAATATAATTCTGGCTCAGCTAATAACTTATGGTTCCAGGTAATTTCTACAACACTTATAATATTTGTCTGGAAACCATTGATATTTGGACTTTGCCAAGTAGCAGGTGTCAAATTACTCCTGATTCCCATGCTGCCAAGCCCACAGCCCATCCAAAGGCTACTTTTGAATACGCAAGAGGAGTTCAATCCATTCTCTGGATGACTACAAACTGCTGAATTTCCATTTCAAATTCACTTGCAAATCTTACGGTTATAGTCTGGTATGTCGGATCAGTAACTCCTGTCAAGGCAGAGGGCCAACAACCATGCTTATCTCTCTCTGACAGATGGAAATGCACAGTTGATTGACACCGCGTAACACTCTGGGCTCAATTCTGATCTCACGCCAGTTTTGCCCAGGTGTAAATCCACTGATTTCCGTGCAGTTACTTGTGATTAACATGGGTGTAAAATGACAGCCTAAGCAGGCCCTTGGAATCCGGGTGAGTGTAGAAATGCAGGCTGGAATAGTAAAATAAGTAAAGGAAACCATTCACACACTCTAGGCAAGCAAAAAAGCAAGCATTTGTATCAAGAGATGCTAAAGAAGTTCTGTGGCCCAGTGGGGATATCCCCACTATATTGCTGACAATGACTCTGGAGCAATACAAGAAGAAATGCCTTGGAGAATCACTCTCAGTTTTTACAGTGAGCCCCATGCTTCCTGACACAGAATTGTAGGAGTTCACTGTGTGAGTGTGAATGCTCCCAAAGGTCAAGCCTAATGAAAATAGTTTCAGGCTTTGGTATATGGGACTCCAAAGACTGGGGAGAGAAGTTCAACAGCAGAGGATGTGGCTTTGTGTGGCAGCATACAGGTTTCCCTGGCTTTATGCTGTACATGTGTTCCTGGAAAACAGCGCATAACTCGAATTCGCATAAAGGGCACCCACTTTACAATGTAACAAATAGGGATACATTCAAAGACCTCAACTTTACTGATCCCCAGACCCATTTCTACCACTTTTACAAGACTATTTTGGTACACAGCAATGGCAGACAGTACACACAAGCACAAGGCACTGTCATAATGGGGATGGCAACTGCAGAAACACGTGTCTCAGACAATGAGCGAGGAGCACCGATCCCTATACAAATCTATATTTTGGTGTGGGTCACTCCCACAATGCACTGCACAAAGCAGCTGTCTGCGGGCTTCCACCACACCGATCACATAACAGTGAATTTACCTCGCATATAACACATTTTTGGTATAAAAAGGGTCATCATATAAGAGTGAATTTTCACATACAGAACCCACATAAAGCAAGGGAAACTTGTATTGTGATTGAGTTTCAGGTGAGTGGCTATGATTACATCTCTCTAGAAAATGACAGTATCTGAAAACAATCTGCCTGGCCAGATTAGGGAGACTGTGATAGCCCATTACCTTATAAAACAGCAACTTTTTACTCTGCATGTCTGCTTTCTGGAGCCTTGTTCTCTTACCTCAGGGGATGAGTAACTCCATTGACATCAATGGCAGAACAATGATGTTTTAAATTTACATAGTACCCTATAGTTGTGGGGTGCAAAGACCTGCAAAAACACCGAGTCAAGCCTCAGAACACCTTCTGGAAGGTGGTGTGTTGATTCCCTCAGTTGATAGATCTGGCAACTGAAGCACAGAGTAATTTCATGAGTTGTGCAAGTCAGTGACAGAGCCAGAAGCAGAACCCAAGATGTCTCTGCTCCTGAAGTTTTGCTCTAACCACTGGACCACACACCCAGAATGCAAAGAGGAAGCTATTGGAGAGACAAACCTTGCATCTGCCCTGAGCTCTCGTTAGCTGCCAAGGAAGCTCCATCTTAATGTAGAGTGTAATGATCACACTGGAATGTTTGAAAATAAAGGCACCATTGTTAATGCAAATAAAAAAGCTAAAGGGAAAAAGGGGTTGGCAGTGCGCCTGCTGTAATTAACTAAAATGTGAGGAGACAGACACGGCAGTGCAGGGACTCTGCATGGACTCATCCTGCCAGCTTCGCCTGCCAAAGCCAAAAAGCAGCTTCCTCATCAGCGGCTTATTAACTTTAAGTAAGACAAGGTGATAGCCCAAGGAAATGTACTAATGACAAGCGGCATCACGTTTCACGTATGAGCCACCTCCAGCAGCCCCAGGTGCAACAAGCCATACTCAGGAGGCCAGGAACAGTAGGGCAGGGCTGAGGTCACTGGCAGGACCACAGGCGGTAGCAAGCCAGAAAACAAGAGAAGAGGCTGTAATTCCGAATACAGGTCAGTACCGTGGCAAGGCAGTTTGGCGCCCAGGGCAAAGCCCACAGCGGCAGCCCGCCCTCACCCTGCACATAGATCTGGGGGGCTCTTGCCCCCCCCCATGCTTGCCCAGGAGTGCACACAGCAGCAGGAGCTGCCCTTCCCCTGTCCCTGCACCTCCCCAAATAAGCCTCTCGTGGCTGCATCCCACACCCCGCCCCAGCTGGGCAGTGCCTGTTGGCACCCCTTCACTTCAGCACTGGGGGCAGATGCTCTGCTTGCCTCCCCCCGGCCCCTGCTACAGCACTGATACAGGGGCTTCAGCACAGCTGTCTGAGGTGAGGGAATGGAGTAGGAAAGGGAGGGTCTACCCCTCAATGCTGACTTGACACAACACAGCTGTGGGGAAGAACCCGAGGCTGGAAGAGCAGAGGGATACAGGTCAACACTAGGTGCCCTGGAAGAGAAAAGCCTGCTCAGCACCTGCTATACACCACTCTAGCCAGTGCAGCCATCTCTCCAGTCTTCTGAGCCACACAATCTCTGCCCTCTTATAAAGTAAGGCTATATAGCAGTAACACCCACTACATTGTTTTGCAGGATCCAGGAATGGGTCTCTGGCAGTTGCCCAGCATCTGCTGCCCTGTGCAAGGGGAAATGAAGCCTTCATACATGCACACACGGGGGCTCCACTGACACAGTGGGGGTTCCACACCCTCTGCAACCATCCTGCTCCACAGGTCTATAGGGAACATTCAAAGAAAAGTTGGGAGGCATCATAGCTTCCAGTCCCCATCCACACACCAAAGGAAATGGATCCTGGGAGTTAAGCCACCTGATCCTAGAAGACAGGTCTAGCTCAGAGCTCCAGACCAAAATGGGGAAACCCTTCCTCCATGGTCCCTACCCATACTCAACCTGAAAAATGTCCCCTTTGTCTAAAGAAAAATCATTAGCCCTACTTTCTGTTTTAATTTATCCCTCACACAGATATTTGCACCTTATGATATTTGCAGATATCATGGACCATGTGTAGATGAAACAAGGGGCATGTGTGCGCAACACTTTAAAGCAGGGTAAATGCCTTTGCACCACTTCAATGGTTTTGGTGTTTGCATGCGTCGGCATCATATTGCACAGTAATTCCAGCCACTGTAGCAAATTTGGCAGTGTAATGCACCTTAAATGACTTGGGGTGCAGCAAACTAAAAAACTCCACTGAGGACCCCACCCCCACCCCCCTGGGCTCTTTCTGGCCTCCATAAACTCAGCCAATCCACCTCTGGGGCTGATGAGGGATGGTCACAGTGTATCTGTAGAAAAGGGACAAGCTCAGGACAAATTTCTTTGGTCAAACATCAGTCAAAAGAATGCCTTCATTGACCAAAATTAAGTAATCCATAACGCATAAGAGGGGACAAAACCAGTCCTTTTTTGGAAAGCTACTTATTGAGAGATGCAGGGATAGTTGGGGGGCAGGATATCTTTTACTGGACCAACTGCATGGTTGGGAGAGATTTTAAACAAGCTTTGGAGCAGGCAGTGCTCTTCTCCAGGTCTGAAAAAGAAGCAGACACAGTCTGAGCTGAGTAATGAATAGAACAATTGCCTGTGAAAAACTCTGTAAGTAAAAAACAAACAGCAACAACAAACACCCCCCCGCCCAATCTGCTAGACAACAATAAAACTAGACAGAAACTATGCTCCAGAATACATCACTCCAGCACTACGTATTGAGAATCAGAGATCAGTTAAGGGATTCATTGCAAGGACAAGGAATTCCTTCCTTTGCTCCTGGTTTCAGGCTAACTAAAGCAGGAGCATGAGGGTGAGAGCAATGTATGTAATGAAATAAAGAAGGCCTAATCAAAAAGGGATTAGACCAATTTATTGGGCACTGGTCCATCAGGGGCTATTAAACACCACAGCCAGGGATGTAACCATCTGCTTGGGACTAGGAAGGTTTGACAGGGAATGTATCACTCAACACATGCCATTCCTGGAGATAAGAGACTAGGCCGGACTGGACCTTTCTCTCACCCAGCATGGCAAGTCTTAGGTTCTTAAAAAAAACAAAACCCAGCCCAAAACACCATCCATCCACAAACCCAAAATATCTTAACACTAAAAACAGAGCATCTATGTTTTTACAGAAATTTTAAAATAAAATCTCAGGCATGACATTCAGCAACAGTATAAAATAAAATCCCAATGAGATAAACAGCATTGTATTCAACTAATAAGCCAGACAACTTGAAATCTAGATGAGATGTGGTCAATGTAATGTCCCGGCATGGGGCACAACAAATAAAGAAGCCGTTCTCCCAAATAACAGCAGTCCCAAATTTTC